CTCTCCAGGCAGGGTAGACATTTTGCATATTTCTTAAAGCCTTAAAGTTTGCACATATTTCTCACTTCATCTCTCTCTGCATTCTCAAGAAGCTATGAATCTAGACATAAATTCAGACCCCAGTGTTCAAGAGCCTAAGGACAGCTACAGTAACAATCACACCTATCAGATATAAAAGAAGACCCTGCAATTGTGACAGTGGGTTATACTTGAAGCCTAAATAGGCCAAGGGAGGTAGGTATGTCAGGACCAAAGAATGAAGAGCAGAGGAACAGAGAATTCTTCCACCAAAAGCATTTTTGGTTCTATCTCTTCATAGAGTGTGAGACTAACTTGAGATTGATTCTTTCCACACACAGATGGGTGACATACAGAGGCACTGGGTGAAAGCAAGTTCTGAGATGCTAGAATCCAGCTGTACCTGCACTCATGCATTCAGATTTAAAAACAAAACCAAAAACCCCAATCATCTTTCTCTCTCCTTCAGTGCTCACATCAGTCAGGGAGGAAAGAACTCTACCTGGAATAATGCCAACACAGAGTAGATGCCTGATGAGGTCTTCAAAATATAGTCTAACAATTAAAGCATTTGAGTTTATGTGATACCCTAGCAGAAAGAGACCAGATCCTTGCAATGCTATGCAGGTAAAGATCTGCATTGTTTTCAAATTACTTGAGGCATCTGTCTGCTTCAGAATGTTATCTGATTAACAGCAGTCTGCGCCGAATGGCCAACTGAGGCAAATCCCAATAAATTGGGTGTTTGAGAAAGAAAAAAAAACAAACAAACATTTGTCTTGAGAACACACAAATGACTCTGGGAATGTGATAGTCTTCAGAAAAACCTGGAGAGTGTCAGCTAATGTTTGTTTCCACGTAACCCACCCCTTAACCTGACGGGAGCTCCCACAGTGAAATTTGGCTTTGCTTCAAAAATGTATATATTCCTTTTCTCTCCTACCAGAAGCTGTTTATGTAGGTACTTTAACCTTCTTAAAATACAAGCACTGTTTGCTTTCTTATTTTTATTCCAGGATAGCATTTTACTTGCCATTTAACGTCTCCTTAAACAGACTGTGCACTTTAAATTGTTTTGTTACTAGCATTTTCCCACACAGCTTCACATAAATGTGTGAAAACAGATACTGACCTTGCTTCGTGGCACTGTGACGTAGGGTTGAGAAAATCATCTAAACTGAGACCCACGCTGAAACAACTTCAAAATATTTCAAAATATACAACACAATTTAGAAGTTGTATGACAAGAAGACTCCATTCATCATCATTCATCTGCTATTTGCAAAGGTATACCTGTTTATGGCAGCAATTATGGCTATTTATTGTGCCTGGATTTTGATGGGGATTGTTCAGGAGGTGCAGTAATACTGTCTATCTGGTTCTCTGCATTTATTTTCTAATGATCTGCTACTAGCGATTTTAAACTGAGCACAGTGTTGTTTTCTATTTCTGTTGTATTAGCTTGAACATATTTATGCAAAGGCTCCTTTGGACTGCAAAAATCTCTCAGGCTACAGGCATCTGAAGAACATAAATAGAACTTGTATGGTGCAAAGAAGTTTTCAAGTAAATGAAAGTGAGATTCAGTAGCTACAAGGTCTTTGTGTTTATCTAGGAGTGTAAAAAATTGAGTGGCTTAAAGAGAATGACTAGGCTTTCCCTGGAGGAGATTATAGCAGAAAAGCACAAGCAACACTACAGCTCACTCCATTACATTTACCTGTAGATTCCTTCACAATTCTGAGAATGTTGTGGGTTTGGGTTTTTTTTTTTTTTGTTTTGTTTGTTTTTTGGTTTTTGTTGTTTTTTGGTTTGGTTTGCTTTCCTTCACCCAAATTCTATGATTCTAAGATATACTGCAAATACACAGTGTGCTTTTAAGCACGATGCTCTCTTTCTGACTCCTATTTTTCTGATCACCCTTCCAATAGCTGATCAGCAATTTTAAAATTTCAGGTTTTTTTCTTTATTTACATTTCCTCCCCTTTTTTTTTTTTTTTCCCTCCCTCTCACAGCTCAGTGCCAGGTAGCTTAATATTCCTCCTACTTTAATTATCTTTGTCAACCTTATTTGACATTGTAGTAAGAGAAGCGCTCTTGTTGCGGTATTCGAGTACCTTGCCAGATGGCAACAGTGTGGGAATTCTCCTGTAACTGTGAATTAGTTTGATAGGACCTGACAGTGAGAGCTTACTTAGAGTGGAGGACAAAGGTGCTTGGCCACAGCACCAGCAGAGTGAGCTCAGTTGTGTTGATTATGTTTGTACCTTAGCATTAAATGCAATAATCATCCTCAAGAAAAAAGTTTTGAGTATCTCTTCTAGATGGCAATGAGGACTTTCCCTGGTTGTCAGATTATTGTAAGAGAGAACAGCCCCCTTGCAAAAGCAAAACACGCCACTGCGTTAATGCTTTGCCTTGCTGGCACACAGCAAGAGGTGATAGAGCTTCTTATCTTGCTCAAACATCAGAAACAGTCTTTGATATGGCTGATTTCCTACTTGCATAATTCCTAATTTGCCCAGGATTAACGTAAAGGTTATACAGATATTTGGAGGGGAAAAAAAAGTTTGGAAAGACTGAAAGAACATCAATTAGCAGAACTCTGCTGAGTACAGAATCTAGTCATTTTGTGGACAAAATGAACTGGCTAACAAAAAAAAAAAAAAAAAAAAAAAAAAACAGAAGAAAATCAGCATGTTGCTGTGTGGTCAATGTGGTCCGTCTTCATTATCACTGTAACTGCTGAAAAGTAGCTAAAAAAGGCATATCTGAACTAGATACAGGCAGGTAACACTGTGGTAGTTCCCATACTGTAGATGAACAAACACTTTAGTGAGAAATAATAGTGTCATAAAACAGCAGAAGGGTGTAAGTTAGATGTGAAAAAAAAAGATGTTAGGCTTTTGAATCCATCTCCTGCTACTGCAGGACCATTCCCTGCAGTACATTTTCTCATATTTTGTCTAGTCTGCTTGTTAATGCCCTGCATAATAGTAAATTTCATAATTTCCCTTAGGAGGAACAGATGACACTTTAGTACCTCTCCCTGTCAGGAAGCTGTTGTTGGTATCTTGCCTGCTTTCATTTTCCCAGCTCCATCTTGTTACTCCTAACAATTACCTGAATAACACTATAAATAATGCTGCTCTTTTTATCCCAGCTCTGCAGTGAGATGGCAGCTGGTGGAACATCTATAGGTTCCCAGAGGGTAATCCATGGGAACTAGTTTTTCTGGGAAGCAGCCCAAAATCAAGGGTGTTCTATACTTGCAGTGTTGCAAGGTCAGCCCCAGTGCAGCCTCCTTTTCATACATTTACTTCTGTGCTCAGAATAGATAGTTGTAGAGTTATTTTAAATTTTGCCTCTGAGACATATTCCATAGGTCCAGGTGGACTTTGTGTCCCACCCTCCATTTTGAGAATCATGCTGTAGCACAAGGCACACTCAAGTTTTTCCAATGTACCATTTAGTTTTCCCTAGTCCTGGTTCTGGGTTGCTCCTAATAGTAAATAACGGTAATATTCAGTAAATCTGGCATTGAAAATACCTTGGAAAGCAATGAAAATACCCCTGGAGAGTTTATTATAAAAAATAATTTAAAATAATCAAGTCCATGTGCAAACTCAACATCCTGTTTTTAATATATTTATTGACTGAGAGCCCCTTTTCAGTCACCTGCTGGCCATACGAGCAAGTATTTTTTCTACCTAATAGTACCAGTAGGTTATCTGACCCATGTATTTTACATAGTTTCTCCCAGCGTGCTTTCCACAGCCTCCTGACAAGTTTCATTTAGTTTTGTTTACAGTGTTTGAATAAACACCAGTTTGCCAAAAAATTTCAGCCACTATTCTCCTGTTCTGCTCTCCTAATAACTTTAGGAGAACAGAAGTGTCATGATGGCTCCAGTAGGTACAATTCAACACAGCACTCATAAAAATGAGTGAATATAGGCAGCAATAGCAATAATAGGAGAAACACACTGTCAGTTCATTCATCTTAAAGGAACTTGATGCATACAAAAAAGAGCGTGGGAAAAACTTTTTTTTTGTTTTTGTTCCAAGTTAACAATTTACTCTCTTGAAAGAAACCTAAAAATGGTTTTGTCCTGTGCAAATCAAGAGGTTGGTAGGTCTATTTACTTACTAAGACACTATCAACATCTTAATATGGCCAGCTGTGTAATTCTTCCTGCAAGTGAATTAGGCAGCTCTTCATTCAAACTGAAGATAGCATCACTCCAGATATGAGCAAAGCAGGAATAGTAGACCTTTCCTATTCCTTCTGATGACCAGCAGTGCCTGCATACTTTGGCACCAAGTACATGCTTGACTTTGTATCACTAACGGACATAGGTTTAGTGACTCAGTCAGTCAGGTTGGTGAGTGGATTTGATAATCTTGAAAGATTTCTCCAACCTATATGCTTCTATATACAGATATTTTAATGATTCACCAACTCCCGGTCCAACTTATGGCTCATTCACCTGAATTAGCATTCCTGAGAAAAATGCAGGCTACAGAGATTTATAATAATAGAAGAAAATGCTGATGTCTGCTACATTTTGCTCTGCTAAATAACAAACCCCAAATACTCACTAAAGCTTTAGTGATGCTTCATCACAAAAACTATCCAGTCCTGAGAATAAATTACTAATGTTAATTGGTAGGACATGACCTACCATCAGTGATTTCAGAGACTAATCATTTTTTTATTGGTCACAGTGTTTCCCAAACAGTAACAGAGTACCGCCTAAATTAGAATAGTTAATAATAATAACAATAGGATTTTAAAAAATTTGCCATCAGTTAAGCAGATGTTTGCTTTCAGCAGGTTCCTCCTATGGCTCAAAGAAGACTTCACCAACTGATGACTATGGAGCTTACTGCAGAGTCTGAGAACCACAAAGCTTACTTCAATCATAGATAAAGTATACACTCTTTGAATTTTATAAGTTTTATAAGTTTTGCTATTCTTACCTGCAGAGGTGTTCACAATTTCTGAAGTATTTCTGAGACCCATAAAGTCAAACTGATAGAGTCTCCAAGACTTCTGGTCAGCAGCTTCCACTGAGTTTTTTCTCCATCTGTAAATCATTTCTTCTTTAGGATAGCCATCTGAAAATAATTAAATAAGTATCATTTCATTAAAAAAAAAAAAAAAGGTGATGCACAACAGTATCTGTTCGCTGATTCAGAGATATTTGAGAATAACTAAATTTCTGATCTGACACCTAGTGATTTTGTCAGCATAGTTCAACTGAAGAGTAGTAAGGCACACAAAAATAGAGATGTAATTCCAGGAAAACTATGAATTTCCACGATTTTTTTTTTTCCTCAATGGAGAAAAAGTATGATTGGTTCTATCAGAAGTAGATCTCTTCAGAGATGTCACTGATTATACTAATTAGCGGTCTGGACACAGTACATTTACTGCTTTACATATACACTGAAAAAGTAGGGCAAATTATATTATTAAAAAAAAAGTTGAGGAAAGCTGAAAGTTTAAAAAGTGAAGATAGACATAATGCAGTGTGTGCTACTATACTTTTGAAATTAACTCAAAACAGTGCAAAAAAAAATAAAACAAAACAAAACACATTCTTAATTAGCTTGAGATTTTTAAAGTGATTATGTTATCTTCTTATTCTAAAGGCCATAATAATTAATGAGGCCTCACCTGACCTACACAGCTGAAATAGCTTCTAAATGTCTTTATCAATTTAGTACTCAGAAGCTACAGTTAATTCTCATGCCAATATTTAATTTCCTTTTTTGTTAGACTGGCGTTTTTCAGTAGAAGTCCAAAAACAATTTGTCAACTAGTACTAATCATAATAGAAGACAATCTAGAAAACAATGGTATGCCCATGCCAGTTAAGACTAGACTGTTCTCTAATGCATAATCCAATATACATATATCCAATATACAATCCAATATACAATATCCAATTCATCTAATAATTAATGTAGTAGATGTAGATTACAAAGCAAATTAAAAGCCTAACAATAACAAAGACAGTTAATATAAATATCTCATCAGTATTTTGAATACTAATACACTTGGTTTTTGTGTTGCAAAACTGCTTCTCTGGTCATGGTGCTCTTTCTTGACATTTTCTCATATGTGTCTTCTTTGTCTTGTTTAAAATTCCACCCTGCTGGGCACTGTTGAAAGGTGTGCATGACTTCATTTATTCTTCTTTACACAGCAAGAAAAATACCCACAAGTCCCTCAATTCTAACCTGCAGAAAATAACTATGTGTTAATTCAAATGTAATATCCACATATTTTCCATGAATGTGAATAAAGAAACGACGCATGAAGAACTTAAGTGGACAACAAAAACAAGCTCTGCCATTCTCCACACGAACTCTTGTTGCCAAGCAATTTTCACTGCCAATTTTGTTGTGCCAGGCTGTGAGACTGATTCAAAGGTTAATTTTTTTTTTTGGCTGGCATAAGATGCAGACGCACAGTGAAAGAACAGAAAACTTTGCAGGATCTCCAAGCTTTAACCGTGAATCCCCTAAATTTGTTTTAATCATAGAATCATAGAATGTCCTGGATTGAAAAGGACCACAACGATCATCTAGTTTCAACCCCCTGCTATGTCTATGTGCAGAGTTGCCAACCACCAGACCAGGCTGCCCAGAGCCACATCCAGCCTGGCCTTGAATGCCTCCAGGGATGGGGCATCCACAGCCTCCTTGGGCAACCTGTTCCAGTGTGTCACCACCCTCTGTGTGAAAAACTTCCTCCTGATATCTAACCTAAACCTCCCCTGCCTTAGTTTAAAACCGATCCCCCTTGCCTTATCACTATCCACCCATATAAACAGTTGTTCCACCTCTTGTTTATACACTCCAAGTACTGGAAGGCCACAATGAGGTCTTCCAAGAGCCTTCTCTTCTTCAAGCTAAACAATCCCAGTTCCCTCAACCTTTCCTCATAGGAGAGGTGCTCCAGCCCTCTGATCATCTTACTGGCCCTCCTTTGGACCCGCTCCAAGAGCTCCATATGCTTCTTTTGCTGGGGGCCCCAGGCCTGGACACAGCACTCCAGATGGGGCCTCACAAGAGCTGAGTAAAGAGGGACAACCACCTCCATCTTCCTGCTGGATAACTTTTTTTAATGCAGCCCATTAAGCCTGGCTGCTATTTGAGAAAGCCTCTGATCACCTGCTAAACAAACAATGTGTAACTGAAAGCCTCAGGAGCCTTCCCAAATTGGCTTTATTTGGAAACCTTTGTTTCTACATTTCAGGAAGAAAGAGGTATCAAATCCCCCCTGGTCATGTTGTGGCAGCTATGCCCTCATGCTAAGAGGCTGAGGCAGAATTGGCCCTTCCCTGTAAAGCTGTTATGGAACCACAAGGGTGTATGCGCTGGGTCCTAATCCTACCTCCTAGCATGGATTTATGTCCTGATACAGAGGAAAGGAAATCACTGCTCTCTTGCAATCAATACACCAGCTTGATGCAGAAATTGTTGCCCAAATTGTGAATGTACAGATTTTGTAGTAGGCAGTTGATGGGGCCCCTTTTCTCAAATGAATTCTAAAATATTCCTTCATTAAAATCACATTGACTATATGAAAATACTAGGGTCTTTAAAACTGAGATCGCATTTGCAATACGTCAGGATAAATTTGATCAGCAAGATAGAACATCAGAGAAGATGAGATTTTATTTGGCCACACACTGACTTCAGTAATATTTTGAGAGGAAAGAACAGTATAGGGAGATTTTTGACCTTTCTTTTTCATCTTATGGCCAGCCCACCAAAAATCAATTACAGTAATATGGGAAACTCTGTTACATGATCCAACGCATAGCTGTTTGTTCCTGTATGAGTAGCATGTAGTCAAGTGCAAGTTCCTTCAGTACTGTAGTTCTTCTAAAACTCTATTCCTACTGTAGTTCTGACTAAACAGAGACAGCTTTAACTTGGGAATGACTACTTTAAGTATTACTTATGGTCACTAAATAGTAAGGAACTGACTCCAGAAGATGAGCATGCCCTTTAATCCACAGATACTGACATCTGCTCTTACAATGGCTATATTATGGCTATATTACATCAAAAGAGAGAGTTATTACTGATGCAATGAGAGTTGTTTCAGCCTGTAACTGTTATTGTGTTATGCTCCTGCGCTCAGTGACTTCACTTCTGCACTCATTTCAAGGGTATAATATTTCCTATGGAATAATGACACATCTGCTTGGACAATAGATCACAACTAAGATTCATCTAACTTACAGAATGGGCTATGGAGAACAGCTGTTGGTATGGTGATGATGGTACGCAATATTTCTTGTAGATAGCCTAATTGCTTCTAGCCCTCTAAATGCTTCATTTTACAACATTATAAGACCTGGAGACCTCGGTGCTTCTAGAAGAAAACATAACTTCTTCTATTCAGCCTGCAACACAACTAAGAGCATATTATCTACAGAAATATCTGTTTTCTTGCACTTCACCAGCTTGACAAATGACAGTAAATTACCTTAAATTTTTGACCTTATGGCATCAAGCCATCCATGCTGAACAAATTGCTACCAAGTGCATTTAACCTGGGAGATTGCTTTAGGATATGCCACCACCATACTGTGGTGGAGCAATGCTTCAGGAGGGCAAGACGGCTTTTCACTGGTTGCAGTCAGTCGGCAAGGGAAACAGCTGGGGAAGCAGATGACGCTAACAACAAATTGACACTGTGTTACAGCTGTTAAGCTTCTGATAATATGCAACTCTGGAACTTCTCAACCCACGACCTTCAATTTCTCAGACATTAATTTATTTTAGTGTCTCTGTTCTCTTTTTTTTTTTTTTTTTTTTTTTTTGTCTGATTGTTGTTCTGTATGTTCTGTTGCAGCTGTTCTTCCAAAGCTTTTAGTTTTATATGCCACTATGTAAGAATTTCAGAAAGCACCTTGACCATTTGCATTTTTTTAAGATTGGCATTACATGCATGTTGAGTAAATTAAAATGGAGTGAAGAACATATTTTGCTACAGTTAATTTTTAAGAACACTCTGGGAAATATCCATATAATTGCTATTCATGAATACAAATGATTGGTACCTTGAAGCTTTACTTAAAGGCTTAAACATACACATTTTCAAAATGTACCACCAATTTTAACCCCAGTAAAACAAACATTGATAAGTAATAAATGCACTTTCTGCTGTTTTGGAGGTGAACCTGCAATAACAGAATGCCAAATTGTTATGACAACCTGCGAGATTCTGTGAATTTCATTTTATTTCCCTTCTGTTATTGGAATAATTGAACAAATGTTACCATAGCTTCTCACATCACCACATCATTTATAATGGATAGGTTAAAAACAATGGACAGTTAAAAATAGTCATTCTCCCTGCTCATATGAATTCACTTCCTATGGAGATTAGGTTTTGCAGAACTCTTGATCAAACCACTGGAAAAACGGTCAAGGCCAGAAACATGTCCAGGCTGGATGCAAGGCTTATGCAGTCACAAGGTAGTGGAGAAAAATGGTGTGAAGTGGCACTTGAAGCACATCTGCTGTAGGAGTCAGCCCTGATGGAAAATCAGCAACTTCCGTAATAGAAGCATTGACGTATCCATGCTATTAGTACACATGCCTCTAAACCTTGATTTCCTCAGTGCTGTTTCTGCTCTGGGCATCTCAGAACAGCAGATGATTTCTACATGTCACTTCTCTTTCTGTTTTAATGGTCCTATTTCAGTAAGATTGTAGAGATGGGAGGAAGGTACTGGAAAGGGGGTCGTACCGACAAGAGACTGGGACAACTAGAAGTTTTACATACCACTTGAAACATACTACTTGACATTATTTTTACTAAAAATAGTAAAAATGAGAGAGAAGGAGAAGAATGTCTCCCAGCTTTTCAGACATAACTTTACTGCTGGTTCCTCAAACTTTGTATTCAAATATTACACAGGCAGAACATGCTTGTAGCAGGAAGAATAATGCAAAAATGAAACTCATCTCTCCTTCCTAGCCCAGAGCATGTAATGATGAGCTAATGAAAGCAGCAGCAAAGCTGAAAATATGGGGAAGCACAAAAGGAAGGATCAGTTCAGTTAAGTATCTGCCAAGAGGCTGATGCT